TGGGTTTATGCAAACAACCCTTTTGCATTGTCACTTTGTCTTCATGTTGCTACTTGATACATTGTCCTTATAAATCAGTTGATTATAGTGCTCTAACACAAATGAAAAAGTATGACAGGGCAGAATTGTGTCTACACACTTTTGACTTTAATATCTTAAGACCTGAAGAGTTAGTGGAGTAGAATTAGAGAAAATAGTCACATGTGGTTACCCACTTGCATTTTAATATTTACACATAAAATGGTTGTGCACTTCTCTAAAATCAGCTAAAAGGACTTAAAACTGTTCAAATTCATTGACTCAAATCAAATGGTTAGATACATAAAATGAAGACATCCATGTGGTTAGAAGGATATAAGATAAAACTGTATAATCCTTATAGTCACTGAAAGTTCACAGCATTTAAAATTTGGGGGGTAAAATTTAAATGATGGTAAATTTACATGTGTATCACATTTGGCCTTTTAGCTGTCGTCTTAAGAACTATCTAACTAACTTTCCTCTTGTTAGTAAAAGGCCACAGCTGCTTGCAGGACGAAAGTGCAAAGGCAGGAGAAGGAGCAGCCAAGCAACTTGTCAGCTGTTGCTCATTAAGATTGTGTCATGGCATCTAAAAATGACTTCCTTTTTCTAATCACTTTTCCTTGACCTTGATGGAAGATTGTATGACATCAGGGACAGATGTGAAAGAGAATTTAATCGCACTCATGCTAGATTCCTTAACACCATAACAACAGGTGTCTACCATGTCAAAACTACCACATCCAGAAGACAGAGTACACAAAAATGTGAATCTAGATTCGCCCCAGCATCCTCTGAGACTTGCTTCATACAAGTCATATAAATGAGAACCTTTGGTAAAAAAAAATATCACTTAATTAGAAAAGTGGGAATTTTAACCTTTAAGATCCCTGCTTCAGTCTCTGAAGGAAAAATTTCCTTTATCCATTATTTATCCAATTGGAGCCTATCCCCGTCAAATTTTACTTATTGGAAACCCTAAAGGCTAGCAATACCAATAATAGACATTAGTAAAGGAACCACAGCCATAGAACATACTTTGATCAATTAATTTATCTCATAATCTTGATTTAGATATTTTATGTAAATCTACATAAGTCAGTACCTCAACAAGAAGCTGATATTTTTACAGCAGTTTGATGTTCATAGTTCACCTTTTAATGGGTTTTACCAGGTGCAGCAGCCTCTTGTTGAAGGTCCAAAACATATCAGCAAGTCAGTTTTATTGGTCATTTTTATGAACCATCCAGTGCGTTGCTATGAATTGTGGGATGGAATACCTCCTTTCATTTCACAAAGGATGGTCTAGTGCAGGGGTGGACAATCTCAGTCCACGAGGGCCGGTGTCCCTGCAGGTTTTAGATCTCACCTTGGGTCAACACACCTGAATCACATGATTAGTTCGTTACCAGGCCTCTGGAGAACTCAGGACATTTTGAGGAGCTAATTTAGCCATTTGAATCAGCTGTGTTGGTTCAAGGACACATCTAAAGCCTGCAGGGACACCGGCCCTCGTGGACTGAGATTGCCCACCCCTGGTCTAGTGTGTCCTATACTGGGTGAGGTAATAAAGGAAGCAGTAAAGCACCTTAGTATTTAGAGAATCCAACCAGCTGTTATGGCTGCCACTCAGCATCCTGCTGTTAATGATACAAACAATTAGGAATCCCAGCAATGATTAAATGTTAGCACACAATAAATGATTTTTAAACTAATCATCTCAACCTTCCCTTGTGCCCTTTTAGTTGTATAATCATCATGAATAAAAATAGCTCAGCTGTCTGAGAATGTAGGCGCTACTTGTCTGAAGATTTTAACCTTTCCAAAATAAACTGTTTCATTCTGTGCAGTGTGTTTCTTCAAAAAAACCAAAAAACTCTGCTTGTAGCAATGTTTCTTTTTAATCTTTCACACAGTCCTCCTCTCTTCTGTGCTCTAGGTTATCTTTATCTCTAATCCCATTGTCTGCCTCTCTCCATGTCTGCTTCAGTTTCGTGCAGTTTCAGGCTTGTATTGTATGATTTCAGGTGTCATAAAAAATTGGGTTGTGTCCAGCTCAGCAGATAGGGCAGTGCACCAAGCTGCTATTCTTGTGAGTTTGTATGAAAACTCAACACATAAAGATGAGCTAAAATGTTAAATTGGTTAAATTACTCTAAGGTAATAGAGTACAGCTTCTAATAAGGAGTAACTTTATTAAATGATTCAAAGATATATATTTAAACAACATGACATAATCAAATAGGACAATAGTAGGAATCATCCAGTTTGAGGCCCAGTGTATTTGTTTATGGATTTCCTAAAAACTTCATGATTCAGCCATGTAGTTTTATGCAAATTATAATTTCATAAATTGTTAACAATCCTGCTGAAAGCATGCAGTTACATATGGCAAAACAAAACACGCTAAAGGCTGAGAGACTGAGCAAACGAGGGCCAAGTTTGCCCCATAAAGCCATTGGTGACCTCAGATTGAGACTTAGATTTAATTATTTTTCTGGTGAAGTTTGCATTGCAAATGTGGGTCAGGTAGCACTGAGCTATGTTGCCTGAGCATAAGCCTCCATGGGAAACTACTGAGCACATGTAGGAGCTAAGGAAGCGGTTAAAGGAAGCAAAATAGAGGAGAGGAGCAAAAGATGGGTGACCGAGTTCAAGCTAAATGTAGGTTCTTGAATAATTCACTTCCCCCTGCTGGAAACAAGGCCTGGTCCTTCAAAAGGCATTTAAACACTTATCATGTTCTGTGTATCTCCTCTTTCATGTGACTATTGTATGTCTGCAGCATGTTTGTTTTCTTCTCTCTGCTGTCTTCTTTGTATGTTTACCTTTTCAACATTCAAAAGCTGCTTTCTTTCACTTCAATCTATCGTGTGTTTTTTTTTTTAAGCATTCAGTTTGAATGTTGCCAAACACGATCAGCTGAGCAGCTTCATAGCTACAGTTACTGTTTCATCAAGCGTCACGTTCTAGAGCAGCGCCAGAGACAATGAACAAAAGCCTGACGTCCAGCAGGTTTGCTCTTTGTTCTTTCAATTGAGCTTGATGAGGCATAAAGTTTACCCATATCTCTGGAAAACAACCACAGGCATAGCTGTGGCCTCCCATCATTCTTTTACTGCACATTAAATCATTAAACATTGTGTCTTGTATTATTTTTGTTGCATATTATTGTATTAAAAGCTGTGGGTTAAATATTTTGTGGAATGGAAGTTAGGGATCATGTCATTGCCAGATCCTTTGTAGATACTGTGAGTGATAATAAGACCCCACCCCCCACACACCAAGAGGGCCCCAGGATATGTTCATGTGCTGCAGTGCAGACGATCCCAATTATGCATGCCACACCCAGATCAATCATGTCAAAGGAGGCGTTTCCACTCTGCTCTCAAAGACACAAAATTTGCAGCGAGTCACAGGTTGAGATGTGAAACGTATTACCTGTAAATCCACACAGTGCAATGGCAGCTTGCTGTCTGTTGCCATTCAGTGATCATTTTTATGTTACAACCCATTTTGTAAACACCTTTTCATAGATTCACGGTCTTAAATTTGCACAGTCAGATTCCAGTGAGCTGAACTCTATGCCATGTGCTTTAAATGACTTAACAGATTATTATCTTTGATAAATTCTTGCCCTAGTTCCCAAACTCTGTTGGGCTGTGCTGGAATTAGCGAGCAGAGGATTAACCCTTTAAAGCCAAATGTATCATATTTGATGCACTAGTTTTTGTGAGTTTTTGAGACTTTTACATTATCGGTGTGATTTTCCTCCTGATGCATGATACAATTTTAAGGAATAAATTGTAAAAATAAATAAATAAATAAAATGCCTGTTGTAGCAAATATGATACAAATTTAAACTGATATGTGATTTTTTGTTTGTTTGTTTTGTCAAAAGATTCACTAAATGCAATTCAACCTTTAAATGTTTTTTTTAAAAAACAAACAAGCGAAAAACCATTAAGGGCTTTAAAAAACCAACCATTCTCTCAAACTCTAGGAGAATTTTGTGTTTAAGAAGCGTTGTTCTGCACTATTCTCTGTGTATCTTTCAGCTTTTTCCTGAATTCATCTTCATCAGCTTCTTCTGAGCAAAGCACACAAGGAATGCAGATCAGATTTACTGTGCATGTATTACACAGTTACATATTTATATACCAGACTTATTAGACAAACATTTACAGATCTACTTGAACACAACAAACAATCATCAGCTGCTTGTCAGCAAAACTCTTTCCAGTGCTCAGAAGGTTGCTGTCCCTCTAATTAAAACCCAGTGGAAACGCCATCAATCATATCAGATCAATATGAAATGAAATCAAAGAGGGCCAGTTTTCAGCTTTTTGTCACTTTAACAGTCTCCCATGCTGCTTTGTTATCTTCCTAGTAGGGGCAACATCGCCACCAAATGGTGTGAAATGGAAACATCTTCGTATGGCTAATACTAAAAAACAACTAACTTGATATAAAGGCGAGTTGCAGCAGTAATACAATTTTTTTTTTATTGATTAGTTTATTTAAAAGTGGAAAAAAAATTGACACGAGAAATACTCCAAATTGATTGGATTACAGAAAATGCTAAAACAGGGAAAACAGTATAACAACCCTGACAGGTGCAGTTATTGTTTTCACAATAGCCTATAATGAACAAAAAACTGGACCACTTACACACTGCTGATATGTGCAGCCTGCTTGCACAAGCTTGGATTAAAGGATTTCATGGCTGAGAGGAAAAGCAAGCAGCAGCTGTATCTGCAAGGTTCCTGTTGCTTCTGTAGTGTTGAGTTCCTAATATCTTTTGAGCAGGTGTAAAGCTATCTATACAAATGCTCGTCAACATGAAGACTGTTGCATTTTTAAGCTCAAACATGACATATGTTGGATTCCATATGATGCAAAACATTGCATCTGTATTTTTTATCTGCAAAGACTTTGCATTCGTCTTTATAATAGGCCGTTGTGTGTTTAATTCTCAGGTTCCCATCACCCTGCGCTTCCCAGAGGTGGGTACATGCGCTCCCCCTCGTGGACACGATGCAGCAAAGTTGAGCCTCCACGAGAGAGAAAGCACCACAGTGACTCAGACACCACAGAGCCCTTAATGAAGCTGGAAAGGCCAAAGCAACCATGATCTCTGACATGAACCAACCAGCCTGCAGAGAGGAAAACAAAACCCAGAGCCAGACATACAGCCAGAGCAGTCACACAAAGCGGACCAAGATGCCTCGTTCTGCCACCGTGCTCTCACATAATCTTACATGGTGCTGGCGAGTTCAGGCTGAACTCTGGACACTGTGCTCTCTACTCTAACTAAAGATGCTGAGATGTGCAATGTGCACACTTTCTTCTCTCCCCGTCCCATTCTCTCCCACACTCACAAACACACGCAATCATTGTGTTGCTCAAGCAAAAGGTTCTTAGTACACTTTGAGCTACCAGATTATAATCTTTGTTTATTGGTTGACAGACAGGGTATTAGGTCAGCAGAATAATAGCACTTTTATCTGTGAAACCTCTCAGCATGGGCTTGCACAGTGAGATTGATCAGGACATAACCACAGTGTTAGGTTAGACTTCACGTGAAGCTCAGATGACAGTGAGCTTCACTCTCAATTACAAAGTCATAAGATAAATCATAAATCAGGCATTTTTTTTTCCTAAATGAAACATCACATCGATCTCTTATTGAGGCTTATTCTGTAACACCTCGAAGTAAGTTAAGTGAAGCAGGGGATGTTGGTTTCTGCAAGGCTCAGCTCTATCCACCACTTTTTCTCAATCGTAATGAAGAATGTGTGCTGTTGTTTTAAATGCCTAAATAAAAATAATGCACTTCTTCACTGAACTGTATATACAGTGCCCTGCAGAATTATTGGCATTTGGTGCAGATGATTCACAAAGATAAACAGACCAAGTAGCAGCTATATGCTATGTACTTTTCCACACCCAACTTTGTGTTTGCAAAATTTGCTCACTTTATCATTATGAATAGATTATCTGCCACAATTGCTGCTACTAGCATTAAGGAATCCAAAGTTAGCAAAAAAACAAAACAAAGTTACACTGAAACAATATGGGGTAAAACTTAAAGCAGTTAAAAAAAAAAAAAGGTCAAATCTCACTATAGGCAGATTCATGCAAAACAAAGTGCCAACAATTTTATAACTCAAATCTCCCAAAAGGTGAATTTAACTCCTGATGCAATATTTCTTATTATTTTCAGTAAAGGGAATAGCTGATTACTTGATTTATTTGTCGCATATTCAGCTTGTCTATACCAAGAGTGCCAATAATTCTGAATGCTGTGACACAGTGGATTCAAAGTGACACTGGGATGGTAGAAGAAAAAAATAAAATGAAAACAGTGTAAGTTATTATGTGACTTCTGTTGTTACTAGTGTGGAGGAGACCCATTCTGTATTGCATGGTATGGACAGCAATTGATTTCATATCAGTCTTTCGCTACAAATGTAGTCTGTGCAAATAAATATGCACATCTCTCATGTTCACTGCAGACAATGTGCTCTATAAATAGCAGGGAAACTATGGCAACTGCCAAACCCAGTCTGAGATGGCTGTTCTGTTAAAGTTTTTAAATTCAAACAGACATTTTAAACTTTATTTCACCATCCTTGGATCTCCAAGGAATTTGAATAATCATTATTATTAAAATTATTATAGCACCAATGTAGCACCGGCTTACCATTAATGGGAATCCTGGCTAAAAGTGCAAAAGTACCCACTCTACTCATATTGCAAGTTCAAGTAATGATTGGTATATATTAGTGTACATATTTGTATATAATAGTACAATAGTTACAAAAATACTATTTACCCAGCAGAGGAGCAGCTGGCATAAGAAATGCAACAGTAGATGACAGAGTGTAGACAGGAAGTAGGAAAAAATAAAACAAAATACATAACTGACAGAGTAATTTCCTGAATAACAGCAAAGTTCATGTTTTTACAGTACCAAACAAATACTTTAGTGTTCGTATTACTTTAAGCTGTTGCTAATTTCTTTTATCCTCATTAAATGTGCTGAAAGCACAGTTTGAAAGAATAAAAGGACAGAAATCTTTCTTAATCACTACTTTGACCAGTGAACTATGCAGGCGATATTTTCATATATTCTAAGGGACAGTTTGTAACACAGAGACAAGACAAACAATATGACCCATACTGAGCTACACTTTCCCAGAGCTAATCCGAAGTTCTTATATCTACATAAATGTTTACCCTGATTATTATGAGACACTGGGAAGGAAAAAATAGCCTCCAGTACATTTGATTAGCTAACATTTGCTGGACTGTATGCGCAGAGAGAAAGCTAGAAAACATTGACTGATTTCTAATTACCTTTACTGATAAATATATGCACACTCCAAGGAAAACAACATCTGCAAAAGGATTGAAATATAAAACAATCAACAATCAAAAAGATCTGAACTTTAAACATGTGGCAAATAATAGGATAAAATAGAAAACTGTATGAAAATCCAATCCTCAAAATAAAACTTAACACATGGTTCCTGCGGCTGATAAGAACATAGCATGATGGCTTATTCCCTTCTAATAACATAATATAATTCTATTCTATTTATTCATGGTATGTTTTGTTAGTATTATTGCACTTAGAGACTTCCACAGAGGGGGAAAAAGGAAACATAAGGCAACTGCAGCAAAAAAGTGCACTTTTACATAAAAACTACAATGAAAAAAATTGCAGATTGCACAAAAACTTTGGCAACACATCACCATCTTTTATCCTAAGGTTGTCAGTCACATGAACCACTAACAGACCTCTGACAAACTGCAGTCTAGACCAGACGGTGCCGCACATGAGAGACAACCTTGAAGACAACCTACAGGTAAAGGGCTGATGTGTTTTGCCGATTCTGCAGGTGTTTTTTATCTCCTTTGTTGTTTTGCCAGTCTTTTAGTCCTTCAGGTAGAAAAGTGTCTTCTTTAGATTTCTCCAAGCAATCAACAACCTCTTGATATGAGAACTTCTCTTGAAAGGGGCGAGGTCCTAGCAGTTCCACCATGTCAGCCCTGTCTAGAATCTCTTGGTCTAGAAGATGCTTTGCCACCTGCATTACATGACCAACAGGAAACATCGAGCTTTGAGGTCATTAAAATACAATTTTTTTTTTCATACTCCAAATATATGAATTTTGAAAAATGCTCAGCACAAATGAAAATCCATTTGCAGCATCACACTCTGCAAATGTCTCTGAAGCACTTACTACAAATGTTAAAAAGTTCGCACCTTCTCCACCATTTCCTTCTTGTCAAGTATGAGCTCAAGTGTTCGTTGGAAGGCAGCGTCTATGAGTGAGCGAACTTCCTGGTCTATAACCTGGGCTGTAGATTCACTGAAAGGTTTGTCAGTTATAAGGCTGCCCCATTGCGGTAGGTCAAAAGAAACCTGACCCACCGCACCATTCATTCCAAACTGTACAATCTAAAATATGAAGAGACGAAGAATATGAAGACTGGAACAGAAATATATAGTCAATAAAAATCATAAATTATTCTCTATGAGTCATTTTAACTCCATGATTGGTTATGCTTTTTTTTTTGTTGTTGGACAAAATACGGTTTGGTCACGCCTAAATTTCTACAATAAGCCTGTTCTCCAGTGAGGCGAGTACCTGTGCATAGGCAGACTGTGTGACTTTCCTGAGATCATCTTGTGCCCTGGTGGTGACTTGACGAAAGAAAACCTGCTCAGCCACTCGACCACCCAGCATCATGCACATTCTGTCAAACAGCTGCTCCTGTGTGAATAGGTACTGCTCTTTAGGTAGATACTGTGCATAGCCCAAACCTGTCCCTCTAGGAACAAGTGACACCTGGTGGAGTACATTATAATGATGAATCTATAATCAGCTAATCATTATAATTATTACAGGATTATTGCAGAGAGAGAGCAAGAAATGTAAAGAATACCTTAAAAGGTGGGTCTGCATGTTCAAGAAACCACCCAGTGACAGCATGCCCAGCTTCATGATATGCCAGAGCAGTTTTTTCTGGAAGTTGCAGAACCTGAGATCTTTTCTCTAGACCTGAGAACACGACAGACATCTTAAAAAAAATGCTTAAATCATAATATTAACATCAGGTTAATGGATTGACATAAAATAACATATAAGCCCTATATTTTGACACCACTGCTTTTATAACTCAGTTGTACTGTATTGTCATTGTATTTATGTAATCAAAAAAGTGGTTATGGAAAGATTCACATATATACTGTCAGTTTCTTTTGGTTCATTTTGAAGTGCATAATTTTGGTGTTTGACTTACCTCCAACAACCCTTTCAACTGCCCACTCAAAGTGTTTGCTACTGACATACTGGCTGAGATGACGTGCAGCTATTAGAGCTGCCTCATTACACACATTTGCAATGTCAGCCCCTTATACAAACACAGAGAAGCAACAAATAAGTTAGACTGTGATGAAATTAAAGCAAGAAGCAGCTGAAACTGTATGATTTTCTTTTTTAGATTTGTTGGGTATTCAGTGATCATGATATTTTATTCCCACCAGTAAAATCTGGGGTTAAAGCAGCAAGATTCCTGGCCAGCGTCTCTACATCTACACTGGAGTCCAACTTCAGAGGTCTTAAATGAACCTTAAAGATTGATGCCCTGCCTTTCATATCTGGAGGACCTGCGAAAAACAAAAAAGAAGACCACTGTCTTTATAATTCATTAATAAATCACTCTGCTTCAAGTTCTGCCACATATACAGCACTGTGCAAAAGTCTCATTCCTTAATTCCTTTATATTTGGTTTTCATTAAGCTAGACTTTTCTAAAGTGATCTTGAGAAATAGTTTATCAGGCTTTCGAGCAAAGACCTGACACAGGACCAGAGATGCATTTGGTCCTTCAATTAATCAATCTGCTGTTCACCAAAGCCTCATTAATAATGGTTTAAGTGGAAGGGTGGCTTTCAAGAAGCAATTCTAAAGGAAGAGCAACCGGAAGAAAAGGTTGAAGTATGTCAAATTATGCAAGAATTGGACTCAAAATGAAGTACTGAAACCAAATTTACAATTTTTAGCTTAAAGGCTCATCAATATGTATGGAGGAGCTCATAAGAGAACCTGCCCAGATCCTGAAGATCAACATTATTGAACCTGAGTGGGATCATTTTGATAGTGTAGAGAACAAAAGGAGCCAACATCTGAAAATAACTTTGATTGTCCTTCAAGAAGCCTATTCCTGAAGACTACTTGAAGAAATTATAAGAAAGTTGCCTGAGAGAGTTAAGGCTGTGTTGAAGAATAAAGGTGTTCGTGCAACGAACAGCCTACATCTATTGCAGCCCTTAGTTATGCTGCAATAGACGTAGGCTGCCGGGGATTCCCATGATGCATTGAGTTTTTCCTTTCCAGTCAACTTTCTAACTCAGTATGTGTTAATAGACCTCTCTGCATCGATTCATATCTGTTATTAATCTCTGTCTCTCTTCCACAGCATGTCTTTATCCTGATTTCCTTCTCTCACCCCAACCGGTTGCAGCAGATGGCCGCCCCTCCCTGAGCCTGGTTCTGCCGGAGGTTTCTTCCTGTTAAAAGGGAGTTTTTCCTTCCCACTGTCGCCAAAGTGCTTGCTCACAGGGGGTCATGTGATTGTTGGGTTTTTCTCTGTATCTATTATTGTGCGATCTACTGTACAATATAAAGCGCCTTGAGGCGACTTTTGTTGTAATTAATTAATGAATTAATTTGGCGCTATATAAATAAAATTGAATTGAATTGAATTTAACTTGAATGTTTTTACCTAATATACTGTATATCCATGTATGTTTGAAAATACTTTAATAAATTACTACACATATGTTCAGTTTATCTAGCAAAATATAAAGAATCGAGAGGCAGCTCAAATTTGTTTGCACAGTACTGTGCAAACAAAAAGCTTATAGAGCTGATGCTGACAATTACTCAGCCTTCTGCTGCATTACACGTGCACAATTAGCAACTGCAAAAATAGTTCACTGAAACCATGCCAGCATGAAAAGGTGGTGAATCTTGTTTGTAGAAACTTTAAAATAACACTTTTTTTTAAAGGTTTATATTCGGTCGAAAGGCAGAGCAAATTCTAAAACAACAATGTATTGACTTAAAAGTTTCAGTACAGAAGCATTAACTCTTACTGGAGGAGAAATGTTTTAATTCGCTTTTAAAGCCATGAATTCAGCGTCATTTATTTTACCATTTAAAAACCCTTTGTCATTTGTCAGCATCCAGGAAAGGACCCAATATAAGTCCTAAGGCAGTGGCCAAACTTGTGGCTTGTTGGAATACCAAGTTACATAACTAATTGCTCATTAAACCAATTAGAAATGTGAACTTTTTCAGCACTCCCATCTTTCTGTCATCTGTTTACAAAAGACAATATACACAGACAGAAGGACGGGGAACAGAGAATAACAGGGAAATGAGGAGCAACATATCCCATCCCTCGTGTTGGCCTCCAGTTACCTAATCTGTCCTTTATAGAAAAACAGCTCTCTCATTATGATCTTGTTTTCTTTGATAGAGAAAAGTGGTCTGGCCACCCACCCTGTAGTCCTGGTGTTAGGAAAATTAGATCTTAGCGGGCAGGAAATATCAAATTAACCGAAGATAAAAGCAAACATTATGCAACACATGCTTTTAATGACATAAGACGTAAACAGGCAAGAAGAAACATACAGTAAGTACAAGATATGAGTTTCAATAATGTCAAACGTAACACCTCATCTAAAGCAGGGAAAGTCAAAGTTATGCAGAGCCAGTGAATCACATGTGGAATAATAAACTGCTACGGGGAAACAGAAATCAAAAAGAAAATAAACTTAATCACAGCAAAAGTAAAAGTGAGCTTGGTGTTGTGGTCAGACACCAATAATCTGAAAATGAACTGAAATTTTAAATGCATCTTAATAAACATAGAAATAATAGTTTTATATTTATAGTTTTCATAAAAGGTAACTGAGTTGCAACAAGAGAGGAGACTGCAGAGGAAGTAGGCAGATCTCAGGTTAATATTTATACTTCACCTATGTATACATGTCGATCAAAGCGTCCAGGCCTCATCAGAGCTGGATCCAAGATATTGGCTCGATTTGTGGCAGCTAAAACCACAACATTAGTGCTGCTGTTGAATCCTGCAATGACAAAAGCATTTAGAGGACTGAGGGCTTGTGAAAAAATAGCATCAGAAATGTTGACATAAAACATAATTACCCACCATCCATTTCCACAAGCAGCTGGTTGAGGGTGTTCTCCTGTTCGCCCTCGTCACCAAAGTTTTCTTTGCCCCGCTTTCTGCCGATCGCGTCAATCTCATCAATGAAAAGAATGCAAGGAGCATTTTTTCGAGTTGTGGCAAACAAATCTCTTATCTAATAAAACACAGAAAAGATCTATTTATTTCTACAGTCATACAAATTTTTGACATTGCCAAAACACCCAAAAGTAGAAAGTCTTCATCATTTTAATTTGATACGAGAATGAGTAATTCAGTGATCTGCTGTATTTGCACATATTGTGGTCACACTGCAGCATCACAAGCATGTGACCCATCATTTTGCTTTCAGACCCGTTGAGAGTCCAATCATTCAGCTCCGTACTAACCCTTGCTGCACCCACACCGACAAACATTTCCTGGAACTCCGAGCCGTTGACTGCAATGAAAGGAACGTTGGCCTCTCCTGCAGTGGCCTTAGCTAGCAAAGTCTTCCCATTTCCAGATGGACCCCACAGCACTGCACCCTGTAAACAAGGGAGTTAATTAGATTTAATATATTTTCTATCTTAAGGAATTTTTTGTTCCAGTGAGTATGATCAGAATGCAGAAGTGCAGAATTGCTTTATTTTAATAAAAATAATAAATTTCTTTATCAAGAAATGACACACCTTAGGGATCTTAGCACCCAGGTCATGATACTGACGTGGGCTTTTCAGGAAATTGATAAACTCCAAGATATCTTGTTTGGCCTCCTCACACCCTGCAACATCTTTAAAACGCACACTGACATTGTTTTTAATTATCCTGGCTTTGGATTCACTTATCCCAAAGAGGCTTCCTCTCCCCCAGCCACCAAGTCCTCCTGCCATCGGCCCCTGCCGTGTTGCAAAAAGTAAAAATCCGACCACAAGTAAGATTGGGAGAACACTCAAAAACAGAGTCCTATGGGAAGAGAAAAACCTTAGTTAGGGCATGGATTCTAATAACCTATATATGCAGTAACTTTAAAGTGAAGCTGCTGTACTTTCTCACCCATCACTTTCACTGCTGTAGAGCACAGGTACTTTCTGAGTGGAGTCCAGACCTATTTCCTGCTGTGCTAGCTCCAGGTTATGCTCAAATGAGTCTGCGCTGCCAATGTTGAACCACAAATAGTTCTGAAACATGAAGACAACAGCATGTAGTATATGTAGTAAGTATATCTACCTTTACTGTACTTTGACTGACTCTTCATCTGGACTGCGGCCCCTCGGTGGAGGCACACTACCATCATCAGGTGGTGCGAGGGGAGAAAATAGCAACACTATTCATAGATAGACTGCATTGTTAGAATAGCAATTGTTCCTCGTGTGATTTTCTCAGTGTAATCAGTCAAATGCCTGCTGCAAATAAAGGTTAGCAAGCTTTATTAGAAAAAAAAGAGCAACTGATAAGGAAAGACAGTGAGAAAATGAAAACGAAAGTACTTATGTGCCAAATACAAATATGTCGACTGCTGAGATCTGTATTTTAAAACTTGTGCTCTTGGAATTTCAGAAAGTAGGTATCTTCTACCAACAAAAGCAAATGGGAATATAGTGTGTGAGAAAAAGAAAGATGTTTGTTTTGTTTGTTTATACAGTCATTTTTATCAATATAGTGAAGTACATTTTGTCAATTCTCATCAATTTAACAGTAAAAATAAATGCATTTAGTTTGTATAAGACACTGTGATTACACACTGGGACATTTAATGAAACTGACCACTCGTGACGTGTTCACGCCGGGGGCAGGAAATACTTTGACGTACTGTTTGTTGACAACCTCGACATGGCCCACCTGGGAGGAAAGCAGAAGGAATCATTTGTTCACATGGTTGCAAACACAAGCACAGACACACAGGTGTAAGGAAGACACCGTAATTAAAACAATCTGTGCCTCTCACCAAGCCTCTACTCAAGTAGTGATGCACAAAATCCTTCCAGGAGATCTGGACTCCTGTTTCTCTAAAGTGAAAGTACAAGAAAGCTGAGGCCATGCCTGCTGCACCGGCTGCCAGGTTCTGGACCGTTTTATCATCAAAGGGAAATTCCTCCTGTTGGAAATAGGATAATGAAAAAATATTTTAGTTTACAACTCCTATGTAGAATCATTTTAGTAAACATATTTTGTTATTATTTAGTGACTGAAGACGAGGCAGTTATTGCCACAATTCTGGCTGTGATTCACACCTGAAAGCGTGACCACCAGTATGATTCCCCTCTCTTCCATCGTTTTCGTCTTTGGTCCTTCCCGTTATTTGAGTCCTGCCATTCCCTTCCACGAGACTCTTCTTTTATATTTCCATCTGAACAGCAATAATAACACAACTGTTCATTGCGGCAGAGCTGAGAAATACAGGGCTTACAAACTCACTGGGTAAAGAAATTATACACAGTTCAACAATACATAGAAAAGTAAGCAATTATGTTCTTCACACTGCCCTTAAGGTTTACAGTCTGTGTGCACACTGATTTAGAGTCATTAAAAAGGTAAACAGCACTAAAAGATGGACTACCTTTTGGCTGTTTCCTTGAGCTAAGTAACCGAGTAACTTGGAAAATGTGTTGATGTAAACCTCCGCATCTTCTTTGGATGAGTGATTTCTTCTGAAATAGGTTAGCAGCGAAGTCAGAGTCATCAAAAGCCATGTATAAAAAGAAATGTACATGAAATAGATTCAGTTCAGTTCAATTTTATTTATATACTGCCAAATCACAACAACAGTTGCCTACAATAATACAAAGAAAACAGAGATGTAAACAAACTAACTGAGAGAAAGGATACAGTCTCATGAAGCAGAGAGTGTATTCATGTTTTTACATTTTTTTTAAAAAACCTTTTGTTTGCTCACATGTTTAAGGATTACTGAAATCTGATTAAGATCTAGGCACACTGAAATGTGTTGCATATAACCTAATTATATGCAGTCATTGCAACAATGACACTGAACAGCTGCTGTTAAGGTCAAATATTAACTTCATTTTGGCCATCTGCACGTATTTAATGTTGATTCAGTTATGTTTATGGTTTGACTAAACTGATTACCATACAACTGCTCAAATTGTGATTCACTATGAGAGAGCATTTCTCGGTATCAAACATACATAATAATGCACGAAATATAAACCATTGCTGCAGGTTATGACTCTGGAAAATTCATCTTACACAGCTCAAACATACACATTCACATCCACACAGGTAAAAAATAATGATCCCATAGTGGAATACAGGCACCTGTTGGTGACAATTTTCCCCTATACAGTTGACTACAGAAAGAAACTGAATACTATGAATGCATTTTTAATAGTAGTTAGTAGATTTTTTTTATGAAGAAGAGACAATGGGTGAGGCAATTCATCTTCTTAAACAGTTTTAAATATTAAAGGCAACTGGATGGATAAATGAGCGAGAGAGAGAGAGAGAGCCCCCTTTAAAATGAGTATTATGAAACTGAGGAAACTGATTTATAAACTACATTAGCGAAACGGACATCGCCTACCGTGAGAGAACAAACAATGCAGGAATGATAAATAAACACTGCTGCAGCTTGCTTGGGTTTTTTGGAGTTGACTGCTATATCTGGATTTTAAAAAATACCAAAAAACAAACTTTTAACATAATTCCTTGCAAACCATTGTTAGCAAACGCAGGTGACAAAAAAAAACTTGCGTCATCTATTTTTTTTTTTAGAAGTGTAGTTAAGCTGATATAAAACAATAACAGTGTTTTTACAACCTACCGACGTGAGAACCACGAAGAAGCGAAAAGTAGATGAAGAGGAATAGTTGCGGCTCAGCGTCCGGACTCGGTTCCTACAGTAGCCAACAGTCAGTGAGAGGAGACTCATCCTGTCAGCCCGACTGACTGACGGACCGACTCACCGCAGAGCCATTAGGAGAGGCACCGGAGGCACGATGCGTATCACAGTCATCTCGCGAGATTTCGATTACAGACGCTACAGGTAGGTACCAGTCTTCCAGCGGAAGTGAGTTTTGTTAAGCCCAGTTTTAATGTTGGAAAGCCAAAGAGATCTATCTTCATTTGGATTTTTTGTTGTTCTTAGTGTGCAGACCGGTCATTAACAGACAGAATTAAAACCATTGCTTAAATGCATTTCATTACTTTATTCATGCACTACTCACATGTTTAACAAGCCATGGTGTTTACCAACACCATGTAAGTCCATTAGTTTGAAAAAAATATATATACAATACATCATGCTGAAAGATAACACAGCCAAAACTCATTATTTTAAAACAAATACATAAAGGTCAGCATTTACACATTAACCAAGGTTTGCCACTTAACATACAGAGACTTAATTAAGGGAATTTAGACTGACACAACTACCATGATGGTATGAAAAGGTTTGGATAACAGCTGTTAAGTAACCTGACAGTCTTAGGCACACAATTTTCATGAGCATCAACAGACATTTGCTACACTGCATGAAAACAGCACTGATTAAACACATATTAAACTGCACAGCATTAGTTCACAGTTTTGAATTTAAAAAAATGAAAGCACATAAAACAACTCTCATAGTCTTTGTGTCTTACAGTTTAACAATTTTCGTTACAAGGAAAAGTACCGTACTGCTAATGCATGCTTTCATTATATATATCTGTTGCCAATACAGTACACATATTTGAAGTTATGTTTTCAGTGATTGTATGTATACACATTAATTTTTTTGTTTACCTATACCATTTGGTACGGTGCAAATAGGAAAAGAGCTGAAAATAAACAGTTAAGGCCTGAAAATCTACATAATTGAAGACTTTATGAAATATCAACAGATCAATATATTGGTTCTAAATAAACAGCAATTGAACTTATAGAAAATATGTCCAAAAAGGGGAGATGGGTAAGTGGCAGTGACCAACTGATCACACAGTCTAACAGATTTAATCCCATTTTAAACTATGTCAACACATAGCTTTTTTTGTGCAACATCACCCATCTGAACCTAATAAACTGAAACTTGAACATGGCAGCACAGGAACTGGATGCTGAAAGGCATATTTTTGGCGATTTTCTTATTGGACGCTGGGCTTCTAAACTTTAAAATTCTGATATATGGCAACTTTAAAGTTCAGCATTATTGGCAGTTTGGATTAAAGTAGTTGAGGCTTGTAACAGTAAATATACAATTTCTGCATGCATAACCACCTACTGATCAAGTGGATTTTCTCTACAGAGCATTTACTTGTAAATTTAGAAACACACACCAACATTAAACATACACGCAGTGGTTTGTACATCTAAGTTCTGTAGGAATGCAAAGGTTTGATAAAAATATATTAATTTCCAGATGAATTTTAAATACCCTGCCTCATAATGCAGTGCACAGGAAAAACAAAAGTCAGAGCATAATCATAAAACAAAATAAAGAAAGATTGTGGGTTTTTTTTTTTTTAAACTTAGATCAGATTTTTTCCATAACGAAGCAAAGTGCAGCATCCACTTAAATCCCAGGGTCCTTTCCAGAGTTAGCTTTCTTTCACATCCAGCTCCTCTTCGTCCTGCTTACGCTCAGTCATTCGTGCACATCGTGGACAAGTTGTGGAATTGTCAAAGTAACAATCTCTACAGAGGTACACAACAAAAAAACATCAACATTGTAGCATTCATGTCAGTTTTGTTATTTCTTTTAGTAATAGTTTAATAATTGGGAAATCATAGTGCTTTGCAAATTGAAGTACCACTTGTTAAACAGAAATATTCTTAATTACCACTTTAGCAATGGAATCTGAAAGTATGTTATTCTGAAGATCTGTTTTATTATTGGTATCTCCACTCAAAACTTTTATACAAACAATTTCCTTTTATCAATTAATTTTAAATACTTCACAAAGAGAAAATTTGCTGTATTTTTGAGCCCAAATCGTTGGTGATGACTAACCTGTGAAAGACAGCAGAGCAGTCATGGCACACTGAGGTGTGACTGTCAAAGGGGAACAGGATGTCTCCCTCCTTACAAAGCTCACACACAAATCCTTTGGCCTGACAGCGCTACAAATACACACATGGACAGCACAAACCATTAATATGGCACAGAAAGATACAATGAGATCAACAAATACTAAAAACATTTCAGCCATATATTAGTACAACATGGTGAATTTGCAAGTCCAACACAGCCCCTCTTCTTCACGATATAGTTCAACAGTGCCATCAGTAGGGAAGTTTGTGCTTTATGTATGAGCTCACCTCGCAGTCGAGTTTGATGTGCTTAGCAAATGTGGTGTGGATCTCTGTGAGGGAACAGCTCAGTCTGCCAGTGGAAATGTCAATCAAATCCTGTAGTGAGTACATGTCGTCGTTCTCGACAAAGTGTTGGCGATCTTGTAGCTGGAAAATATAAATGCAAAAAAAGGAAATGGGCAACTTTCATATTATGAGACTCAACTCTTTAGTGCAAAAAAAGAGATAACAGACTCAAGCATAGTTTTAAACATATTATTTATTTATTTTAACAGTAGGGAAACATTTTAAAACAATTCAAACTGACAAATCATAAAAATATGTTTAGTATAGATTAAAACTGAGCTAATACAGAACTTGAGATCACAAGAGTCAATTTAATTTATGCAAGCTAATTAGCGATATCCAGTGGCTCACTCGACTGCACATCATCAGCCTTCTTTAGTTCAGTACTCTTCACTTCTATCACATGGTGGTGCTGTTTTAACATACTGCTAATAGGCTGCCTGTGTCAGTGCTTCCATTTGCATTTTTTTAAATGGTAAGTAAATTGATAGCAAGTTTTCCAAACTGGGTTGTTTACATTCTTGCTCTCTTTGTAGGGTTAAATTGTAAACTCTGATCATCCAGTGGAGACTGAAACAATATTAACTGTTTATAATATGATAATGAAAAAAAAAACTTTCTTAATGCACATGTTTGTTTGTACAAATACACACATGCTTATATACAGCTGAGGAAAAAAAGGTCTAGTCTAAATTTGTAAATGCCAGTTTAAAAAAGTTGACGCTATCAGTTCTTCATTCCAACATTATATGAAAAGAATCTATCAGCCTATTAGACATTGGGCAATTACAAGATAATTTTATGATTTACATGCAGAATTGTCTAATAGGCTAATAGTATTGCTTGGATCAGGTTTAATTGAGATAATTTATTATAACTAGATAACGTTTCTGCTTGAAAGCAAGTCCTTGTTTTGCCCAATAAAATTCAGTGTTGGTCAAGTTACTTGAAAGTAATCAGTAACTAATTACTGATTACTTCCTCCAAAAAGTAATCCTGCTACTTTACTGATTACTTATTTTCAAAAGTAATTAATTACTTTTTACTTAGTTACTTTTTAAAAACACGATTTACAACCTGAATAGGTGATAAAG